GCAGCATGAAACCTTCACGGCTTCATTACCTGCGTCTTGATGATGAAGTGGGAAACCCTAGAATACCAATGGACTTATGCAGAACGCAGAGTCGTAGAGAGGCGTAGTGAGTGCTCATTGTGAATATAACTGAATGTCTGTCATTAGAGTGGCCAGATGCAGCTGATTTGCTAGGACAATGTTGGAATGCTGTGAAACTTTATATGCAGTTTATATATCGTTTTGCTCACGTGCTTTTGAGTTGCTGTGTAGACATATATGCAGTTTTATCTGTTATTTTTATGCTAAAATATGTTGAATAAAAAAAATGACCTGTGCATGTTTTGCATATTTATATCACTTGGGTTTGTGGATCGTTTACTGTGACGTGAATATGACGTGATCAAATATCGATGTGATCAAATATCGATGTGAGAATGAAAGTTTACGGTTTTACGCTGTACATAGATACAATTACGGTTACATGGATATGACGAATGGAGAAATGAATGATTGATATTACGAGCGTCGGGTCACGATGACCCCCAAATTAGGCATTTAAGTCCTTGTTACCATCCAATAGTTGGCTTTTGCGTTCTGCTGACATTTTCAACATCAAAGTGTATGTATCTCTAATCAGCACATTGGTAAATAATTTTTCAGAAGTGTAAACACAAAAAAGGATGGCCAAACAACCTCCTACGAGACGGTCCTTGACAACGGATGGTTTAACTCATTTTAAGTGACAGTATTTTCTCTGCTGTTTTGCCTTTTATACCCAATGTGATAATCGAAACTGGTTCTTTCCTGGTTGTTCATTCCTACATTTAATGTGGCATTTGACACACTAAACAACGTTTATAACGAACACGCTTATTGCGAAGTGTTTGGGTCCCCGTGTCCTACTGTATAATACATCAGAAATACAGACAAAGAACTAGGTTATAACGATTGATTTTCATCAGTTGTCATGTTTTTCTGTTGCTCCACATACACAACAAACATTTCATTTAGCAACGTTCCAACAGCTCAAGGTTTTCAACTAACTCTTACGGGGTTGTGCGTGAAGACCTGATATATACTCAGCAGCAAAAAGAACGTCAGTACGAATTCAAAATTAGATAGGCACTGTAGTCAAATCATCACAGAAATGGACATAATAAGCGGATCAAAACTATTTTTTGTGTACAATAACCTGACACATCAATGAATAACTCAGCACAATTCCAAGACATTACGTGAACGTTTGCAGTCCATTCAGACTCTTGACTTCAGTATCTAGTGTGACCACCACGGGCGGCAATAACTGCAGCACAGCGTCTATGCATGGAGTGCACCAATCGATTGATGAAGGCCATTGGCACCTGGAACCAGAAAGACATGGCGCAATAAATCGGCTGTGTTCGGCCTTGGTATGACATTATTCAGTCTCCTCTGAATTTCATCCCAAAGATGTTCAATTGGGTTTAAATCAGGACTAAGGGCTGGCCACTGCATAATGTTGACACCGTTCTGCTGTAGGAAGTCCCGTGTAGCTCTGGCAGTATGGGCCCGGGCGTTATCATGCTGGAAAATGTTGTTCCGGTGACTGGCGAAATGTGGTATGACGTGGGGTCTGAGAGCTTGGTTGATATAGCGCACCGCTGTGATGCCGCCTCCTCTCCCTGGACCAAGGTTCTGGAACACCACAGGACCCACTCTCTGGTTCAGGCCTATTCAACCCCATACCATGGTGCTTGCACCTCCCCATGAGTCTCTTCCCATAAGACATTGGTCTGAGTAACGCTTACCACGTCGTCGCCATATTCTTGTTCTGCCATCTGCAGTTGATACGAAGTACCGACTTTCATCTGTGAACAGAACAGTTCTCCATTGCCTGTATCGCCAGTTTTGGTGTTGTAGGGCAAACTGTAGACGTTCACGCCGATGACAAGGGTGAGGATAGGTCCACGGTAAGGTCTACGGCAATAGAGGTTCCCGCTATTAAGACGTCGGCGTACTGTATCAGTACTGATTAGTCTTCCGTGTGTTCCCACTGTATGGAGTGCCTGGATGAAGGGATTCTGTACATACTGTCGCACAACATGGCGGTCTTGTCGTCTTGTGGTCACCCTTGGTCTGCCAGTACGGGGGCGATCACTTGTAATGTTGGTGGCCCGGAAACGTTGCTACAGCTTGTAGATGGTCCGAACGTTGACCTGGAAGTGATTGGCAACGTCTTGTGCAGTGTGGCCAGCTTCAAGTTTTCTTAGCACCTGGTTCCTCTCAGCTGTCGTGAGTCCTGCTGACCTTGTAATATGAATGTTTCAACCAGGTTTGGGGGTGCATTGTACAGGGCTGGTCCTTGTGAACACCACTTGCAGCATGAGTTGCATGAAAAACATGGCGAACACCGTACCATCTCCGAGATCAGGTTGCGTCTTTGAGACCATTTCCTGGGTTCCATTCTGCGTTTGGGAAGGAATGTCTTTGCTCAGGTAAAGTTGGAGATGTTGTCAAAAATATACAATCAAAACATTAAATGAGTTTACAGTTATCCGTTTCTGCGAAGGAAAATTCTAAACTGACGTTTCTTTTGCTGCTTAGTACACGTGAACTCACTGGCTTGATATTGTGAGCACACTGATTTGATGTATAGAAACACACTGACTTGATATTGTAAACACACTCACTTGGTATTGTATACACACTGACTTGTCATTGTGAACAGACTGACTTGGCATTGTGAACAAACTGACTTTGTACTTTGAACAGACTGACTCGGTATTGTAAACACACTGACTTGGTACTGTAAACACACTGACTTGGTACTGTAAACATACTGACTTGGTATTGTAAACACACTTACTTGATATTGTAAACACACTGACTTGATATTGTAAACACACTCACGTGGTATTGTATACACACTGACTTGGTACTGTAAACACACTGACTTGGTACTGTAAACATACTGACTTGGTATTGTAAACACACTTACTTGATATTGTAAACACACTGACTTGATATTGTAAACACACTGACTTGGTATTGTATACACACTGACTTGTCATTGTGAACAGACTGACTTGGCATTGTGAACAAACTGACTTTGTACTTTGAACAGACTGACTCGGTACTGTAAACACACTGACTTGGTACTGTAAACATACTGACTTGGTATTGTAAACACACTTTCTTGATATTGTAAATACACTGACTTGATATTGTCAACACACTGACTTGGTGTATAGAAACACACTGACTTGGTATGTGTGAACACAGATGTGATATAATGAAGCCACTGATTTGTAACATGTGAACGCACTGACTTGATATTGTGAACATACTGACTTGGTACTGTGAAAATACTGACTTGGTATTGTCACACACTGACTTTATATTGTGAACACACTGACTTGATATGGCGAACAGACTGACTTGGTATGTGTGAACACATATTTGTTATTGTGAACACACTGACTTGATATTGTGAACACACTGACGTTATATTGTGAACACACTGACTTGGTATGCGTTGCCACACGTATGCAATACACGTGGAATGGACATTTGCGGACACACTGACTTATCCGGACTTAACTAATCAGATCAGTCAAATATAGACTAATGAGGTTGCGCAACGCCTTAGTTCACCTGCGCTTTATCATATTCTATGTATAGAGACGTGCTAAATAAAGTAGGTAGTGTTCGCACTCCTACTTAGATCCATGCATAGATTAGGAGTGACAAAAACTCTCCACAAGGCTGCATGACAAGAGGAATGAATTCAACTTTCCAGCAGTAAAACTTCCCTTTATTTCCAGCAATATTTCAAAAGCTCCAGCCTTTGTTGTTTACATTTCCTAACTTTTGAGGCACAATCGATCCAGTTTTTGTACCAAAATTTCAAGGTTTTATGGTGGACGTGTAGAGTGAGTGAGTATAGGTTTACCCCGCTTTTAGCAATATTCGAGCAATATCAACGCGAGGGACACCAGATATGGGCTTCACACATTGTACCCAGGTCTTCGGCATGGCGAGCGAAAGCTTTAACCATTATCGTAGCCCACCGCCCCTTTAAAGGTTGAGGAATAACAATCCATACATAGGCATCCAAGAGAAACAATCGTGAAAAAATAAATAAACCATTAAATAATAATGACTGCAGCTAATGCTCAAAAGAACCTACCTTCCAGAAATTGCAGTAGTGTTATTAGCTAAAATTTCCATCTCTGAAAAATTAGTGAGTTATACAAAATTCATTATTTAGAATGGCGGCCTCCTCCGTGATTGCGTCAAAGCTTCATTTCCTTTAAAAAGCCAGAATGACAGAACACATTAATCGCCAGACATAGAGTACATAACATCATTAAGGTAATCTATGAATCACTGGTAAGTAGGTTTCAGTGATTGTCAGGTCACGAAGCAAATATGAAACCATGTCATGGTGGTGAAGACGTTGCATCGGGACATGTGACAAAAGTGGGTCAGACAAGAACATTTTTAAAAATTCTAGCAACACTAGAAAAAGCTTTAGGAGCAAATCACAGCCGTGCAAACCACGCACAATATGCGTTATTCTGTGTGAAATAATATAACTTAGCTCAATGGAGGTATACAATGCCACTGGAGTGAGTGAGTTTTACGGCGCTTTTAGAAATAATCCAGCAATATCACGGCGGGGGACACCAGAAATGTGCTTCACACATTGTACCCATGTGGAGAATCTAACCAAGGTCTTCGGCGTGACGAGCGAACGCTACCTCACCGCCCCTTAACGCTACTGGAAATACCCAGACAGTGATACCACTGGTGTGTGTGAGTGGTAGGGTAGACTAATGCTTGGTCTCTGAATATATATAATTTTGATATTAACAAACAAGCCCATTTAAACTGAAAAGGAGCCCTAGGGATACCAGAGATCCTGAACCTGAGGAAATCTAGACTTGCTTTATTTAGGGCTTTAGCACTGCAGAGAGGGCTTGGCAGCAGGGAAATAATGTGGTTCAGGGACTGTGAGACAGACTAGTGGTAGGGATATGCGTGCCAATGATGAGGATGGCAAGGGTGTGAGTGGTAAGAATGTAAGTGGCAAGGATGTGAGCAGCAGGGATATCAGTAGCAAGGATGTGAACAGCAAGGATGTAGGTGGTAAGGATGTGAGTGGCAAGGATATGAGTGATAAGGATGTTAGTGGTAAGGATGTGAGTGACAAGGATGTGAGAGGTAAGGATGTGAGTGACAAGGATGTGAGTGGTAAGGATGTGAGCAGCAAGGATCCGAGTGGCAAGGATGTGAATGGCAAGGATGTGAGTGGTAAGGATGTGAGTGGTACGGGTGTGAGTGGTAAGGATGTGAGCGGCAAGGATGTGAGCAGCAAGGATTTAAGTTCAAGGATGTGAGTGGTAAGGACGTGAGTAGTAGCGATGTGAGTGGTAAGGGTGTGAGTGGTAAGGATATGAGTGGTATGGATGTGAGTGGTAAGGATGTGAGTGGCAATTAAGGATGTGAGTGGTAAGGATGTAAGTGGTAAAGGTGTGAGTAGTAAGGATGCGAGTAATTTCGATGTGAGTGGTAAGGATATGAGTGGTAAGGATGTAAGTAATAGCAATGCGAGTGGTAAGGATGTGAGTAATAGCAATGTGAGTGGTAAGGATGTGAATTGTAAGGATGTGAGTAATAACGATGTGAGCAGCAAGGATGTAAGCTTCAAGGATGTGAGGGGCGGTGGGGTAGCCTAGTGGTTAAAGCATTGGCTCGTCACGCCGAACACCCGGGTTCGAATCCCCACATGGGTACAATGTGTGAAGCCCATTTCTGGTGTCCCCCGTCGTGGTGTTGCTGGAATATTGCTAAAAGCTGCGTAAAACCAAACTCAGTCAGTCAGTCAGTCAAGGATGTGAGTGGTTAAGGTGTGAGTGGTAAGGAAGTGAGTAATATCGATGTGAGAGGTAAGGGTACGAGTGGTAAGGGTGTGAGTGGTAAGGATGTGAATGGTAAGGATGTGAGTAATATCGATGTGAGAGGTAAGGGTGTGAGTGGCAAGGGTCTGAGCGGCAAGGATGTGAGCAGCAAGGATTTAAGTTCAAGGATGTGAATGGTAAGGATGTGAGTAATATCGATGTGAGAGGTAAGGGTGTGAGTGGTAAGGATGTGAGTGGTATTGGTGAGAGTGGTAAGGGTATGAGTGGTAAGGGTATGAGTGGTAAGGGTATGAGTGGTAAGAGTATGAGTGGTAAGGGTGTGAGTGGTAAGGATGTGAATGGTAAGGATGTGAGTAATATCGATGTGAGAGGTAAGGGTGTGAGTGGTAAGGATGTGAGTGGTATTGGTGTGAGTGGTAAGGGTGTGAGTGGCAAGGGTCTGAGTGACAAGGATGTGAGTGGTAAGGGTGTGAATGGTAAGGATGTAAGTAATATCGATGTGAGAGGTAAGGGTGTGAGTGGCAAGGGTCTGAGTGACAAGGATGTGAGTGGTAAGGGTGTGAATGGTAAGGATGTGAGTAATATCGATGTGAGAGGTAAGGGTGTGAGTGGCAAGGGTCTGAGTGACAAGGATGTGAGTGGTAAGGGTGTGAGTGGCAAGGGTCTGAGTGACAAGGATGTGAGTGGTAAGGGTGTGAGTGGCAAGGGTCTGAGTGACAAGGATGTGAGTGGTAAGGGTGTGAGTGGCAAGGGTCTGAGTGACAAGGATGTGGGTGGTAATCACATGTTGCAATACATTTTCCTCACCTGAAATACGTTGGTTTATAAGTACCCATTGTACCCATGTGGAGAATCTAACCCAATGCTTTGAACAAATGTAATTAGAATAGAATATGTCATGATCAAATGATATAGGGGTTATAATCCATGACCATTCAGCTTATGAGACAAGTCGATTTCATAAACATTTACCACTTGGAAATATCAAAATCTTACGAAGTTTGGGACTCTCTACCGGGGTCGACTGTCGGTGAAATGGTAGTTGATGACGACCAACTTCCGGTTGAGCATGGACAGGGCTTACCACCTGTGTAAACATGAGGTTGGAAATCTGAGAGCACAACACTGTGAGGAAAGTGGTATCTACCTTTGATGGTGGCTAAATAGGAAGACTGGTTATTCTTCCGTCTGTTGCGCAACCCTGTTCACACCACAGTTTGCCTGTGCGTCAAGCAACAGTAAACAGAGATCATATACCGGTATATGGTCTCTGCAGTAAATTCACTGTATGTTATGTACGCTTCGTACACGCAACATACTTTCAGTATTTTAAGTCGCTTCAAACATTTACTATAACGGTCATATTCTTTTTATAAGGTTGAATATTTATTGTCAATGATGAATTAGTAGCTGCTCGGATGAATCCTAACAAAAACATCGAACGTTAATTTAGTGGGAGTACGACCGGGATTTGTGATCCTAGCAACACATGCTTGTCGTAAGAGGCGACTGACTGAACGGGTGATCAGATTGGGTTCATGCCTTTTATGTATTCCAAAAGTGCAGCTCGATGCTCATAATGCAAATCTCTTAATTTTCTGGTCCAGATTCAGTCGATTGCAGACCACCGTCATATACCTGCAATATCAATATATCTGAGTGCGGCATAAAACATCACGTACGACTTAACTGGAGTTTGGTGAGTACATCTGTTCACGAAGCCAACTGCTACTAACTAGTACAGTTTGTTTTATCAAATACCTGAAAAAAGATTCATCACCTAACAGTACATATTGATACAAATCCTAAAATATTCTAAAATAACAAAAAATTACACTAGTTTATAGTGTGCTGGTATGGTTTAGAAATGTCTCTTTCGCTCTAAAAAGCATCCAGTATTCGACTCGTCGCTTTCGCGCCAAAATACGTAAAACGTGATGTAACAATTGTCCACCATATTGAATATTGTATAAATGCGAATACGAATGTGGTCAGGAAAGCCTTTGGTGCATGACATAAATTCGAATTTAGTTCAAACTATTATTTTTCTAAATGGCTAAAAAATAGCCAATGTCGTGCTTCATCTGCTCGGATGAAATACCGTTTCGGTGGGATAAATATTTGACACTCTCCATAGCCCGTGAAAAAGACGGCATACAATCAGTATATTAGACATCGCAAAGCATTCAACGTTTGAAATGTATAAAATATTTAGCAAGTAAAGTGAGGACTAGAAGTCGCCATTTTGAAACTATGGGTATATAACTGAACAAAGCTGCCTTCTGATAGGCTAATGTCGACTTCGTGTTAGTAGTTCCATTGCTCGGTAAAGTTCGCGAAAGGTCGTTCTGCCGAGACCTGTAATGGTGTTGTTATCTGATCTTTTAGTGTTGCTGTGGCGAGCACTTACTGTAATACAACAGATTTTAATCAAACTTTCCGTGACGTTAATTATTTGACCCAGGGCTCGATCACCCACACGCGTACAATGTGTGAAGCCCATTTCTGGTGTCCCTAATGCGGAATACTAATGCCTAATGCGGCGTATAACAATACTCACAGTCTCCCGTTTCCAATCCCGTCCCTGTTATCGATTTCCAGAGCAACCACCTCCATGATGACCCGGATATGCAGGTGTGTCTTTTCAAACAGTGCCCGTTGACAACCTCATTGATAGACATGTGGGTAGACTGTTTCTGTTTCACCTTTTCGTCTTCTTGGTCTCCCGTGGACAGATGATGACAATGACATTTTCGTAACCTGGATCACTTGATAATTGTCTTGTTCTCCCCTTCCATCGTTTCTGAAATGTTCACCATCGCGGACTTTGACAACCACTATCAAAATAATGCAGAAATTGGATATAACCTCTATCGCCGGTCGTTGTGGACGACAAGCTTTATAAATAGCATTGCAGAAGCGTTTTGACGTGTTTCGGAATAATCTCTACTTCACCAGAAGGACTCCATGACGTAAACACGTGTCTGGAATCCGAGGGCTGATTTAACCACATCTAGCATGGAGCAACAGTTTCTGCGTACACTTCAATTACGAAAAGGAATTGATTAATTTTTGCGGGATATTATCGTGTTCACCTCATGTGCTATTAATTAGTAATCCTGAATACTTTGACCTGTGTTACTAACGTTTCAATTGATGGAATGTTGTTTAAAGCGGCGTAAAGCTAACCTCACTCACTCACTAACGTTTCGACCCGTGAAGATACGGGATAGAATTGATCTGCAGTAACCCATGCTTGTCGTAAGAGGCGACAAACAGGATCGGGTGGTCAGGCTCGCTGACTTGGATGACACATGTCATCGGTTCCCAATTGCGCAGGACGATGTTCATGCTGTTGATCACTGGATTGTCTGGTCCAGACTCGATTATTTACAGACGGCCGCCATATAGCTGGAATATTACTGAGTGTGGCGTAAAACTAAGCTCACTCACTCACGCAGTGACTGAAATACTGCTCTAGGCGGCGTAAAATCCTCACGAGCGCGCAATGCATACAGTCCATTGGATGATGGTTACACAGATTGTAAATTTAATTTAAGCTATATCATGTTGGTGCAAACGCAAGAGTATCCACATATCTTTCAACGTCCAATTAACTTTCCAAGTTTAAGTTCAAATAACATATACCACAATAATTTACCTGTCGTATTCGTTGTGAATTCTGTCTATGAACGATCAAGGTGATTGAAGCGGACATACAATATTTCATCAATCGTCGAGACAAATCGCCCGTCGCCATTAGCATATGGTCACTGTGCCGCATTATTTTCCCTTCTGCATTTTCCTTTCAGCAATGCTGAAGCCATAAATGAAGCAAGTCTAGATTTCCTCACGTTGTGAGTCTCCCATCTCACTGGGGCTCCTTTTCAGTTTAAAAAGTTGTTCCTATCAAAATTATATATATTCAGAGACTAAGCGTTAGTCTACCGAGAGCGCAGTGGTAGTGTTTGTATACATATGTCAGCAAGGAATTGCCGTGTTAAATATGTTCAGTGTGTCGTGGTGTATTTCATTTATAGGTGTCGTGTTGCATGTACACAACAGCAAATATTTATACCCTTCGTAATATACTTCACACTCTAACTTGCATCGAATAAATCATCTCCTACCCAGCTCCTGTCGTTGCAGGAAAAAGAAACACATGATAACTTGTTGACGTTAGGCAACGTTGGTTACGGAGAGTCTTTGGATGGTTGACCATGAGTTTATTCATAAATTGCCTCTGTTTACCCTGCAGTGAATGGGGGCACACACACACACACACACACACACACACACACACACACACACACACACACACACACACACACACACACACACACACACACACACACACACACACACACACACACACACACACACACACACACACACACACACACACACACACACACACACACACAATTAATCAAATCTATGTGTGACCGCAACACCCTGCCTGGATCCCAAATCAAGTGTACTCTAGGGAAATGGTGTGTGTGATTAACACGTCTTTAAACAACATCTAGATTATTTCGGGTCAGGTTGATGCTGGTGGTTGATGTAGATGACACTTGTGCCCGTGAAGAATGTTGCTGAGAGATCAATGATCATACATGTCACGCCTTAATAAGCGGTCGCAGCCCTTCAAAGAGTAAGTACCTAAGACGACTGGAGCATCCCTAACGACTGATCCCGAGATAGTATCCAAATTAAACCTGTTTTCGTGTTCTTTCATACCCTTATCAGCAATTAATTCATTGACAAAAGAGGTGGTTTCAACTTTCTGGTGGTCAATTTCTCTTCTAATCCTGTCGAGCAATATGCCAACAGCTCCAGCCTTTGATGTGCACATTCAAAACTTTTGTTGTACAATCGAGCATGTTCGTCTCACCAAAATTTCTAACAGCGCTGGGGTGGTGGGGTAGTCTAGTGGTTAAAGCGTTCGCTCGTCACGCCGAAGACCCGGGTTCGATTCCACACATGGGTACAATGTGTGAAGCCCATTTCTGGTGTCCCCCGCCGTGATATAGCTGGAATATTGTTCAAAGCGGCGTAAAACTGAACTCACTCACTCACTCTAACAGCGCTATACAACTCTTGATCAGAAGTTGTTTGTTTGATTACCCGTGAAGATCCGGGTTAGAAATGATCTTCAGTATCCCATGCTTGTCGTAAGAGGATGGGGTGGTCAGGCTCGCTGACTTTGTTGGCACATGTCATCGTATCCCAATTGTGTAGAACGATGTTCATGCTGTTGATCACTGGATTGTCTGGTCCGGACTCTGTTATTTACAGACCGATGTCATATAGTTGGAATATTGCTGAGTGCGCTGTTAAACAACAACGAATGTTTGTTTTTTCAAGGTGTCAAACATTGAAGGCATCACTAAAGTTTTTGTATGGAAGACATGTTATGGAAACTTCTAAATTTGGTGAATCGGTGACAAAAATGATGTACCATACGTTCCCGATATTAATTCAGATGAATAATTGACTAGCTTTTGCATGTGTTTATGATGGGTGCCACCGGTGGGACAGGATACACTCACCATTTCGCAAATAGCTTGTATCTTCACTATGTCGATAGTTACCCCTAAACACTAGATCATATTATAGATGGAATTGTACAATCGATTCCGCCTTTAGCAGAGATTTCTTGTGTATGTAGAAAGGGCCACCGCTTTTGTTTTAAATCATCAACAATCTACAATGTAAGATTAACCTCCCATTCCGGTTATTTAACAAAGCAATGCAACCTTCCCGTATAAACAGTCAGTTTCCGGCTGTGTAATTACCTACGTCAATGTT